TATATATATATATATATATATATATATATATATATATATCGGCACATTTGCAAACATGTACAGCAGTAGATGCCCCATCCATAGGACATCAACTGCCGCTTATACAGTAGATGCCATACGTATGAGTCATACATGCAAGTCTCCAGACTGCCAATTTGGAGCTCTGGCGTGTTTAGGGGCAACGGGGGGAAACAAAAGCTGACGAGAGGTAATTCTCAAGCTTTGCACTTTTCGTAGATTTGCCTTCGTCAGGATTCATTGTATCGGTGTTTGCCTGTTTGCTTTTGTCTGTGTACTGCCGCTGTTCGTTTCAACGTGTCAGTGGAGCTGTTTGCTGTCTCAGTCATTCTCTCTTGTTCTCAGCAAGAATCATCCCAGTATATCTCTTAGTGGCGACGCCCGATTCCCGCAGTCTCCCCTCGCAGGGGGCACTCTCTGTATCTGCGTGTCCGTCTCTCTCTGCTCCTGCTTTCTTTGGTGTCTTTGGTTGTGTCTCCGTCTGCCCTCCTTATATACTATACGCTTCTCTCACTGTTTCCGCCAGAGTTATTGCTTCTCTCTGGTCTCTGTTCATGTCTATTCGTGTATTGCTCCAGTCTTCCCCAGCATCTTCCTGTTTGTTCGATGGCTTTCAGTTTTCTGCTCACTTCCTGCTGCTTGCCTATCTCTGCTGCTCTCTCCTTCTGTCTCCTCGTTTGGAATGTTTGCGTGGTGTCGCTTCTCCATCAGCTGCTTCGTTAGACATCCAGCTAGCTGTGTGGATGGCCGGCTAGCTATGCATATAGCCTCTGTCCCCTGTAGTTTCTATATATTGTTTTTCTCTGCCTCCACTAAGTTGTTGCCCCATTACCTCTGCCAAGCGAATGATGGAAAAGCGCTCTTAGGTGCATCGACAGACGATGCACAAGGATATCTTATCAAGAGATACACAAGCATCAAAGGAGGGAACAATCAATAAACAAAGAACTGCTTCACACAACTGCAAGAGGCATTCAGCCATCAAAGTAAATAACAATAAATGAACCATCAGCACTTGACTTCACCCCGCGGACGCTGCGGAAAAGTGCTGCAGATATTCCCAAGCCAGAGCCCCCACCAGTAACTACTGCCATCTAACGAGCTGCTCCCTTGGAGAGCGAGCTAGCTGCATATACGCCCGGTAGTTGTACATACTGCCAGCTAGGTGCAAGGACCGCTGACCCTGCTGCGCATTCAAGTGACAGGTTGTATATACAGTCAGCTGGGCTGGTGGGGAGGTTCACGCACTGCTGGGATTCTGAGTATTTTTCGGCCTAGGCTGGCATTTTTGTCAATTGCTTCCAACAACTGCTATCCCTATCCAGCTAGCTAGCCACTTGGCTAGCTTAGCTAGCTGGGGGGGCGCGGTGGTGTTTGGAGGGAGCGGACAAGGCTCTTGACCTCTTCGGGGGGTTGCCAACCATGGCTAGCGAAGATAGCTGGCAGCTCATCGAGAAATGCTTTTGAAGGTTGCTGGTTGAAATGCTTAGAGGCGCAGAGAGACAACGAATTCCTCAAAGACTCCAAAGACGCCGTCCCCCCTCCAGACTGAAACTTGGGATCCACCTCCGGATGCTTCGCCAACAAACGACGCAGTAACGCCTCGTCTGCAGTGCAGCACCAGAAGCAGCATCAGAAACAGCATCAGAAGCAGTAGATGAAGTAGCATAGGCAGAGGCAGTTGCTGTATTAGCAATATTAGTAGGAGCAGTAGAAAGTGGAAATAGCACCAGAAACGATAACATCGAGCAGAATTTACGGCCCACTCAGCAGCATCAGGGAGAGAGTAATGATGATACAGATCAACGCCGGCGTGCAGTATTCGTACACAGACGGCGACGCATCTAGACAGGCAGGTATCCCCGCTTAACAAGACCCACCTTCTTTCTTGAAGTAGACAGATTCTTCTCCACTCCGCTTCTGGTCTAGAAATTTAACACCCGAGAACTGGCGGATGGTTCCTCTTGATGATACTGCTGTTGTTGTAGTTGCCGTTGTTGTTACTACAGCTCGGCACCGCCCAACGCTAAGAGACCTCGCCGCTGTTGTTGTTGTTGCTGGTGAAGGGCGTCTCCCGATGCCCCGAGTCGCGACACTCAACATTTTGTTACGAGGTGGTTTTGCACTTGAGATGCTTACAGAAGCACGGTGGTCTCAATATTTCGCTTTGAAGAGGGGTTGGCTCGCCGTAGGGGCTGTCGCACAGGGTTATTGAGCCGGAAGAAATCAGGCTTTGAAGAACTTTAGGCGTAACAGAAAACGTCGGATAAGGAAGCGCAAAATTCACGAGCTAGTAGGTTAGCTCTGTTGGTGTCTACTCAACACGCGCGAGGCGGTCAGCGAGAAGGCCTACTTCCCGCTTCACTCCTCTAAGTGTTTATGCTCTTTTAACACTTCTTCCAGGCATTAGCATACTCTATTTGAATTTCTCTAAAGACAGACCTTACAGACGCCTCGTCGGGTGCACCGGAATCTCTGGGGCTGAAGACGACACCACGGTGGCTCAACGGCATCTCTCCAGCAATGCTTCCGCTTCGTCCCGAGACGTCTTGTTTATTTTGACTCCCTAGGGCTTAAATGTTTACGGTTTAGGGTTAAGCGTTTAGGGCTCAGGGCCTCGGCTCTCGGGTTCGGGGCTTGTGGCCAATGCGCCGCAGCACACATTTCTGCAGCTGCTGGCAACTGCATTCGCCTAGTTGTAGGAGGTGTACTTACACGTCAGCTTGCGTCAGCATTCTCAAGTGCTGCAACCTCCCACTGTCTCTTTGCAGGAAAAACAGTAGGCCTACAGACCGCGCCGGAACCCTCCTCTTCGCGCATGGCGCATCCAGGCCGCAGTGCCCAGGGTTTAGGGTTTAGGGCTTAGGGTTTAGGATTTCGGGTTCTTCTCCTGGGCCTGCGCTTGAGAACCGAAGATGAGTGGAGCCTTGAGCTTCGACCTCAAGGCTGAGACTGAAGCCCTACGAGCCAAGTACCTTGAAGTAAGACCGCTGATGCGTCCTTGTTCCAGCGTGTGCTCCTTGTCGTTAGTTTATCTGCCTGCGTGCTTGCTTGTGTCTGTCTTTTGATACTGCCTTGTTCTCTGACTGTCCGTTTGTGCCTGCCTCCTCGTGTGTTATCCCGGGCTTACTTGTCGCGTCCCCTAGTGTCTTTTGTGTACCTGCGCCATTCTCTGGCTTGGTTCTGTTCCCCTGCATATGTCTATTGGATGGGTTACATGCAAGCACAACTATGTATTCATGCCCTTTCATGTTTCTAAATGCATGTAATGCAAGAATATACGTCTCACTATATGCGTGTATACCTGCGGATGGCGGCTGACTGATTGTACAAGCTTGGAAGTACACTTGCATATAGGAAATATCGTGTCTGCATGTGCATGAACTTATTCTGGTAGGGTTTGGGAGTTGCGGGTTGCGTGCAGCAACTTGAGAGCGGCTGCCCCTGTCCACGGTTGCAGTTTGAATTTGCCTCTCTGTTGATTTGCTCACCCAGCGAAAAAGATTTAAGGGACTCCGCAGATCTTCTCACGGAACTCCTGGAGATTGGCTTTTGCAGGTCGGTTTGACGGGTTATACTTAGAGATTACGGTTTAGGCTCTAGGGTGTTTCTGGTGACTTTGTGATAGGAGGGCTGGACTTCACAGCCCTGAGGAGTTCGAGTCGGGGTGTAGGGGTTGCGCTCTATGAGCAGGGCTGACAATCCTGAACGAGGTTCCATGGCTTTGTTTAGCGCTTATGGCTTAATGTGTAGGGTGTAGGGTTCTCCTCAGGTCGGACTGTCTCTTCCAGCTTGCGCTGGTGTATTTGAAGCTGGGGCACTACTCCCTCGCGAAGCGTCGGGTGGAGGCTCTTCTTCGAATGGTACGTAAAACCTAGACCCCCGGGCGTCTGTGGGTAACGCCAAACACTAAAATCCGTGCTGGGCTCCTCAAGGGGAAAAGGCAAAAGTGCACAGCCATGGCTGGCGTCAGGGCTGGTGTTAGGGTCTAGGGTTGAGGGTGTAAGGTTTGGGTGCTCAGGAGCCGCGCAATTTGTCCGCGCTGTCTCTGCATAGCCTCATTCTGGACCGTGCAGCCTACGGTAGGATATGCAGGGCTTTTGAAGTTTTGGCGCCAAGGGTAGAAGATATGAGGTTTGGCGCATAGGGTTTGACGTGTAGGGTTTATACATAAACGGTATACAACAAAGTCTTACGTTTTAGGATTTCGGGATCTGGATGGAGGGTTTTGGTTGTGCGTGCAGACGGCGTAAGCGGCTCGCTGATCCTCGGCCTCATTGCAGGTTCGTTGCACAAACCCAAATTCCTTGGCTGCTGGAGGGGGACGCTGCAATTTTCTAGGGTCTAAGGTCCGTGCTTTGTCTGGTGCTTCTGTTTGGACTTGCAGGTGGTGCGCTTTTCTATCTCTTGCAGTGGTTTAAACCCCACTAGTTTGATTCTGGGCTTGAACCCTTGCATAGGTCCCCCTACCCCTTATTTGCGGGTTTCTGGAACCTACGTAGACCAGCTGCCCGGCTTGAAGGTCACTTACGAGGGCTACGTAAGTCCCTTCTCTGAAGGGAATCCCGGCCACGGGACGTCACGCGAATGCGCCTATATAGTTTGCCTCTGGTCGTTAGGGCCAGCAGGAGCCCTGACCCCACTCATCAGGCGCGCTAGCCAGTTGAGGTCCCATGGGTGGAGGTAGTCGTAGTTGGGGCCCGTATCCGTTAAAGGGTGCCAATCGAAAACAATGTTACGGTTTTGGGGGCACGTAACAAGCCCCGAATTTGCGGGTCGGTGCTAGGGATTGATTTCAAGTAATCCTTTAGAGCGTAGGGTGTAGGTCTGTAGGCACAGTGGACGGTGACTAGGGCTGCAGGAGTTCAGAGGTGAAGATGCTTCTCACGCAGCTTTTAGAGTAGGTAATGAACAGCTCTACAGTGTCAAGTGGGGAGGGATATAGGCGCTCCGTCTGATAAAAGCATGCATATACCCTGAAAGTGGCGATGTTGGCATACACCCCATATTGCCGAAAAACAACTTGGATCTCAGCCTCTGGGATAGGCGTCTTTCGTCCAGTGCCGCAGCTGAGACAGCAGCAGCTGCTGCAGCTCGAACTGTTCCTGCTACTGCTGCAGCTGACACTGCCTCTGCTTCTACTGCAGGGGTTCCCATTGCCATTGGTGTTGCAAGGGGTGTTGCTCCAGCAGCTCCTGTACGTGTGTTGGCCTGACGTTAGACTGGGGCCCCTACGGTGTGTTCAAACTTGCGGTTTGGGCTTCCAACCCCTTAGAACATTCCTCCCATCGGCATGCCGCCACCTGGGGCCCCCATGCCATCTGCCTGCTGCGGGGACTTCTCCGGAGCGTCCACTATAGAGGCTTCCGTTGTTGCCATAAGGGAGGCTACTGAAGAGGCGTCGCTCAAGGCAGTTTTGACGACTTTGGTGGGGTCTATGATGCCTGAAAGTAATGCATACACCCCAAAATACAGCCAGTCAACACCACAACCAAAATCACCAACTGTCCCCCATCGCAAAAGGATATACCTGAGGATAAGATACACTATGCACAGTTGGTGACAGCACCATTTGTGGGGGGAAAATAAGCGAATAAAACTCTTAACAGCAACAAAGACAACAGAAGAGAGACTACAAGACCACAAACCGAGAGGCTGCGTGAGGGGCATATGAAATTCGAATATCCATAAAAAGACATCTGAGCTTGCACATGCTGTAGCTAGACTGGTGCAACTTTTCCGTGCCGTGCAGTGTCTTCTACTCCCACGCCGTTCAACCGTTTCCGTTAGAGAAGGTTGTGTCTTCACCTCCCTTCTTATCTCTGGAATTCAGTGACTTGTTCTATGCTATCATGAGCGCTTCTTAGTCTGGTACATGCGTTGCTGCCTCTGCTCCTGATATTTGTGTCTCTGAAAACCAGTTTCCCACGTGTGTTCAGTTTTTTGTCTCCTTGCAGGTGATATAGTTATCTCATTACATGTGTGTTCTCGCGTGTAGTGTATTTCCACCTGCTTCGACCATATTGACGTAGCAGCCTGTCTGTGCATTGAAGCCCATCTTCTGGTCCTTCAGGCGCAGCAAATTTCCAACAACCACCGCCCCCTCGTGTCCTGCATTATCCGCAATGAGTTTGCAAGGCACCTGGCACGCCTTCTCAACAATCTCCACGCCCATTCGCTGCTCTGCGTTGTCCACCTTCAAATCCTTCAGACCCTAAACTCCGACAAGCATGCACCATCTAGGCAACGAAAAAAATCTAGGAGACAAGCGAATACAACACACAAGTCACACAACTCTACAAAAACAACACGAACGAACACAGCAATGCCAAAATTGACAGAGCATGACCACTAGAAAATAATGGCAATAATCAACAGCAAATAATGACATATAGGGCAGAAGCGCCACCCCAAACCAGCCCAGCGACGAAAACAAAAGAGACAAGCAATAACGGTAGCAAACAACACCACCGCTCGCAACAAAAACCGCACCACTCGCACCAACAACCTCAATAGTAACACAAATACCATCAGCAGTAGAAACTGCAACTGCTGCACAAACATCAAAAGAAGCAGTGCCGGCGGCACAAAAGCACCTGCGAAGCATAGAGAAGAGCAACGCCACCTCCTGGGACGATGCCCTCCTCAACGGCAGCTCGTGTAGCGCAAAGGGCATCTTGAATCCTGTCTTTCGCCTCGCCCACTGCCACTTCAGATGCGCCCCCAACCTTAATTACTGCTACCCCCCCAGATAACCTTGAAAGTCGCTCCTGGAGCTTCTCCTTTTCATATTCTGCAGACGCCGAAGGCACACAAGTACCCTTTTTATATTTACACACATTATACCTACTCATGCAAACGCCCACGCACACAAGTGTAGGCACACACGAATGCGAATGCACGCAACACATATTAAAAAAAACTGGACGAATCATGAGTGCAAAACAACTCCAGGATGCGTGGGGCCCCTTAGAAGTATTGCGCACGGCTCCTACTGCAGCGTACGCCACCGCCAAGTAAGGTAAGGGTCGCAACCAACACAATAAACACGCGAAAAGCTGGGACGACTCGCCTACATTTGCAAACAAGCAGAACTACCATATACTGACATGCGCACAGAAGGGGACGGGAACAAAGACACCCAAAAGGCCAATACAAACCCCCACCTGAGCTCGTCTGCTTTATGAGGCTCCTGAGCTGGTCACACCGCTCGGCGATGTCTTGCTTTGACCCATTGCCCTCCATCATCAGCGTCGAGTCCTTCGTCACCACCACACTCTTCGCCTGCTCAGTGCAAACCATCAGAAACTACAACCTAAACCCTTAAAGCTAAATACACAACCTCTCTGGCAGCCCTGTCCTCCTGTCAATGATATACACTTGAAATCCCTGAAGTGCCCGCACAGTTCATCAGGCAATCACTGTCTTGACTCATGTGTATTTACAATGCTTAGAGGATGCGAGGGTGTGCACGTTCCACAGATGTATGCAGACGTACGCAAAGACGAGTATCAAATAAACGCGCACAGCCGCATTCATGCATACAACACGCGTAGGCACGAAATAGTACGTCATCATCCGATAGTCACTGAGATGTGTTTATGCAGTTCAGTTTCTAGTCCTTACGCGGCCAAGCATGCCCACGATATCTGCCTTTTCATCCCCAATGGATGGCGTGTCGTCGCTGAGCACCTGCAGGACGAGACAAGAGCAGCAAAATGCTGCTTTTAGCGGACACGCTGACGGCAAAAGGTTTGCTACCCTCAGCATTACGAACAAGCTTCACTAGCAAAACAAGTCATAAGCCCTTATCTTCGAAGTATGCCTGCCTAACATGCCACCTGGGACAAGTGCAGAAGCTCGGGCTTAATGGTTTACCTTGCCCCCCGTGAGGGTGGCCAGGTCGTAGAGCTGCGCTTTGCGGCCGTCTCCAAAGCCGGGTGCCTTAACTGCACAGACGCGAAGGCCAAGGCGCAGTTTATTCACCACCAACGTAGCAAGGGCCTCACTGCAGGCAGAAGCAAACAAGAACGAAGACCAAGTGAGAGCACGTCTACTGACCACCTCCCTAGACCCTGGTGAACATTAGGGTAACCTCCCACTGACAACCTTGAAAAAAATGGCTGGTAGACTTCCCTCCACACAGCCCCAAGAGAAAAGCACTCGCGGGCGCTAACGTAAGCAAGCAAACGGGTCACGTCCCGGTCTACAGACACAAGACGGATGGATGAAACATATCCCAGCCACCGACCACCAACATCTCATCCAGCGAGAGAACCAAAATTTGGAGAAAACACAAACTTCTGCAGGAGATTGCAACACATCCGTGGAAGAAGGGCCCCAACGTCTCGAAAACATGGGCACATGCAAGCAGAAAGGCCCCCAAAGGCAAGGGCTACAAGCTGCCCCCACAAAATAACGCGGCGAAGGGAGAACCACCGAGGAGAGGGTGGAAGCCTGGGGATAGGCAAGCCCATCGCACCGAGGCTTGGTATGTTTTGTGCCTTCCGTTGGGGTGTACGTACCTCTCAACATCCTCCGCAACAATGAGGAGGGCGGCCTGGTTCTGCAAGACGAACTCGAGAGCCGGGAGGAGTTGTTGTATTTGAGACAGGCGCTTGTCCACCAAAAGGACGTATGGAGAGTCCAGTTCAACTTTCTGTTCCTTTGCGTTCGTTATGAAATAAGGGCTGAGATACCCTCGGTCAAACCGCAAACCCTCCACCACCTCCAGCGCGTGCTGCAGAGCCTTCCCCTCCGAGACGGTTATCGTTCCCTCGCGGCCTACCTTTTTCATAGCCTCCCCAATCAAAGCGCCAACCTGAGCATCACCATTGGCGCTAATCGTTGCTACTGAGACGATCTCCTCCGTTGTAGAAATCTCCTTGCGAGAGGCAGACAGCGCCGACAGCACGTGCTCAACAGCTAGATGAATGCCTGCAGAATACAGCGAACACAGGCAGAGCAAAACGCCCACCAGTCCACTCAAATTACGAAGATTCCCACATTTGTGGGAGTGGATTGAGCACAAGACGATAAGCGCGAGACCAAGTTTAGGAAAAGCACCTCGGAGAACGTCCATCGGGTTCATGCCAGCGTCGATTGCCTTGCACCCCTCTTTGAAGATAGCCCGGCCCAAGATTGTAGCGGTAGTTGTGCCATCACCAGCAATGTCATTTGTAGTGGCTGCCACTTGTTTTAGCAGCTGGGCCCCAAGGTTTTCGGTCTTGTTTGCCAATTCGATCGCCTTCGCAACCGTCACACCGTCCTTAGTTATCTTGGGAGAGCCAAACGGCTGCGCTATCACCACATTACGCCCTTTTGGCCCCAACGTTACACCTACTGCGTCCGCCAAACGATTGCAACCTGAAGTGCAGACAAGCAAATCTGACGGGACCACATATGTCCTCGGCTCACATCCACATAGGGCGCCGCTTCGGGTATACACGGAGCACAGAAACGGAAGCAAATGCAAATACATAGTCCAATGTTGCAATATTGTAATCCTGGAAGGACCCTGCAAAACAGTGTGAGATACACATCTTAATTAAGTTGATCTCGACGTCAAAATGTCCCAAAATTCCTGTTCTTCGCATTCTCACCCGCCAACATCTGCATCCGAGCGTCTGAACCAAAGCGTATATCTTTTGAAGCATTTCTAACTTGCTGCAACTGGGCAAAAGACGCAGCTACGGCCTTTCTACCGCCGCGAGCGGCTGCTGCTGCGGAGAAGGCCAGCATCTTCTGAGGTTTATCGTGTATGAGATAGGAATTCTGGCTTCAATATGGGGGTTTCAGCAGAAATCACAGTTTGTCCCAAGAATCCAAACCTCCTTTACAGATGCTCAAACACCTTGCAATACACATTCGGGGCTGCCCCCAACGGCCCCACAAATCCTTCGGTGCGTCCGTCACCAGTGATCACCTGGGCAGTCGTGGGGTCGTACACCAACAACCGGTGTATTCCAGTACACAACTACTTCCAATAAGCAGAATCACGCAAACATAATCTGGAAGAAGTCAAATAGATGGCAGAAGACGGTAGAAGGTGCCTAAATGGCCGTTCATCTCCTGCTTTACTCGATGGCGTCGCTGTACCGACGAGTTGTCTTGCTACAGCAGGCCCCCGTGTGCCTTCGTGTCTTGTCTTTCGCCCCTTTTATAAGGCATGTTGTCTATAACAAACACTTTTATACTTGGGGCACTCGAATAACGAATGCGACACTCATTTGTGCGCAGTTTCTCGCCAGCAGTTCATGTAGTGCACAGGCTCTGCAATGTGTCTCAGTTGTGGCCTCTAGAAACTTTAGGTCAGGAAAGCGAATAAATACTACTAAATATTTTAGGGATTATTACATTATTAGTTAGTTATGGAATTAATAAAACTAAATGTTCCAGGGATTGGGGTAACGTTAGATAGGGTCAGTGTGTTAGCTATCCGCGTCTGCCGTTTAATGCAGAGCTTAGACACTCCTATGGACCTAAGATATGACTTCCAGATCTAATACATGGTAAGGAGATAAATACTATTTATTATATCTGTGATCATGAAAATATTGAAAGCAGCTTTATACGTCAGGTACCTGACTGTGTTGGCGCTGGTTTACTATTTCCCCGCTATTTTACAGGTCAGGCAGGCACTGATCCCCAGTGAAGGCCGGGGGTCAGTTCTGATTATTCTACTTAGTCGGTTATATTATTCGGGGAACTTCCCTTGACTATAGCAGAGACTTGAAGGTCTTGACAATTAAGTATTGACATCAGCCAACGTGAGTAGCTAGAGAATGTAGATTGGATGCCGGATGGCATGAGATGACATAAGTAGGCGCAGCTTCGGACTGCTGCGCACTGCTGCGCACTATATAATGCGGGAAGGCGCTGCGATAGTGCCCAGTCTCTCGAACACATGATGGTGTGTTAGAAGTTTGTAGAAGTTTGTATGCGTATTCAGGTATGTGCCCGTAGGCGCTGAGTAGATAATTAACAACTGGCTACAATGGTAATTCCAGCGGGGAAGAAGGCTTGGCTGTGGTTTCAGACTGCACTGCCTTCTATCACCAATTGCAGCACAGGGAAGCCAGCTCCTCTCCGAAGCAGCCACAGGCCCTTGGGCAGCTGTTCCCAAGTTGCTTATGTGCTGGAGAAACAGTTGCTTTGGGGGGAAACCTACATTAGACCATTCGCCCCGTAGCATGTCCCGTGGTTCCCTAGCTACGATTGATGGCACTAGCTATGTCCGTACACAGAAACAGAAATGGCAGAAACGTGAACGTATGTATTGGACCTCCACCGACACCCAACATCAGTGAATGAGAGGAAAAATAAAGCTCGTGCAGGCTGACGCACATGGATTGCAACAGCCAGAGGGATAGGCACGAACGACATGTGTGCCACGGTGAAAAAATAACTAGTGCTGGAGATTAGTTGATACCACCGTATGAGTTCCTCTTTGTGTGTGGCAGCTTACGCCACCCTGCAGACAGAGGGAAATCAAGCTACACTGAAAAATTTCGCTAGATACAGAGTCACAAATATTGCACAAGTGTGCGGTGGGTGTTTCCAGTGTGGTCGGCCTTTTGAGTAGTTCGCGTTTGCTAGGCTGTGGTGAATGTTAGGCAACATGAGGAAATCCCACCAGAAGGCGCTGACGAGCTCTGGGTCCCTTTATAGCCTCTGTAGAGTAATATCTTGTTTCGCTCATATGGTGTACCTGAATTGGAGCACGGCAGGTGCATCAGCTGACTCTATTCGCCAGTTGAAAGCCTGCACTGCCTTTGCCTGCTAGCAAATTCATTGTCTAGCCCACTGAGGTATCCGTCCGGATCAATTTCGAGTTGAGCAGCTACGCAGGCGTCTCACCTCGGGAGTTTTCCACTATCTTCTGTTTTTCTGGGAAAACGAGAATTTATTCGATGCGCGAAGGGAGCATCCCAGGTGGCGAAGTCGACGAAGCTCCCCGCCTGAATGTCTTGTGGACCAAACAGTGACCCGCAAGGGCATGCTAGTCCAACTTGAGCGAAACGGCTGCACGAAGCCAAGCCGAAATATGTAATCGACGGAGGCCACACCCCAGCGCCGATGTTACAACTCAATGGATGAGCTTTTGTCCCACCGTCCGTTGTTGACTTTCGCATCGACCGCAGCCACTCGAGCACCTAGAGAGGAACGCTAATGCATTGTAGGCATGTAAACGGGAATAATCACAGCTGAACGCAGTCTCCGTATAAATACGATGGCAGGGAAGGCGTCAACAAGGTCAGTCAGTTGTTGCGTTTGTGACATTCTGGAATATTTGTTTGTGGTTCTGTACTGCTCACTGCACATATATTTCGTCATCTTACCCATGGACATTCTTCTGCAAGTGTGTCTGACTTTGATGATGGGTTTGAACAGTGTACACCAGTATACATGGCGATCCTTTACTCCAACCCTTCCTGAAGTGCTAAAGATTTCACCTTTTTTACTGGAATTGTCTCAGTATCAGCCGACTCGTCAGTGATTTCTGGAATCGTCAACTGCCTCAGAGAAGACCGCACCCACAGCTGTGACACTGGATTGGTAGCTAGGAAGTTGGGTTGGTGGAAACCAAGGAGAGGGAATGCTCCACACTACATCAGGTAACGAACAATATATTGATGTGCAAGGATGTGCATTAACGCACTTATTTCGGCGCGCACTACACGTGCTGCAACGTAAGCCGGTGGTCCCCTGCAGAAAGCACGGGCATGTGGGCAGGAAGCATGTGGATAGGCAGAAATCGCAGAATCTAGTAGTTGGAGAAGCCAAAGGCAGTGTTTATGGCTTTTTCTTCATGTCATAGTCTAATTCTAGTGTAGTGCTAACAGATAACGGTCCGGATACCGACGAGCATCCCGCGACGGCAACGCTTGGATGTTTGTTGACCAATTTCCCAACTCTTGAGTGACAGCTGCGTAGAAGTCTAAATACAAAATATTTCTTTGCGGGATAATTTTTTACATTCGAAATACGACTTGAAGAGCAACGAAAGGCGTTGCTGCGTTGCTCGGGGCCTGGAGTGACCGTCGATGCAGCTCCTGGAGCGACAACACTCCCGAACAATTCCACAAAATGCTCCCCCGGTGGCGTGTAGAGAATATCATGCAAGACACGTTTTACTTTTGTACTCTATCGACTTCCCTCCTCTCTTACCTGCTTTCCTTCATTTTCTTCCCGACCTCCGTTCCGGGACCTGCAGGCTGGTGGAGTTTAGATTGGTGTTGCTGAAGATGTTACGTGCGTATACTCTCTCGTTGAGTCTTTTCAGTTGTGTAGTCTGTAGTATGGGACATAATGGCAGCGAATATTCGGGTACTGAACGCATGGGCGTTGTAGCCACTGAACTGTACACCACGATCGCCGCAGGGAAGAGGGAAAGGGGAGGTTTGAACTTTGTGTTTTCCCCATTCAGCATTCTTTCCGTCTTTAAAATGGCGCAAATGGGAGCACGGGGAGAAACACGAGATGAGATGGATCAGCATTTCCCCCTTTCTTCGCCCCTTGACCTCCCAGCCTTGCGCGGTCCCGCTGCCCCTTGGGAAACCGAGCCCCCCATTCAGCTAGAGACAGCAAACCGGATGTATGTAGAATCCTCATTAGCAACCGACGAGCATTTTCTTCACTTTGCCCGTCAGGTGTTTACACGCCTTAAGTGCGAAGCGATGGTCGCGGACTTCGAGGATTCCGAAGCCGCGGCTGCTGCTATAAATGCTTATGTAGAGGAGAAGACGAAGGGGCACATAAAGCGCCTTGTGCCTGCTTCTCTCCTGTCATCTTCAACTCGAATGGTGCTGGTGAATGCGTTGTATTTTAAGGGTCCGTGGGCTTTCCCCTTTTCGCCCGACATGACGTCGGTCGGGTCTTTCTGTGTGGAGGATGGGCAGACGGGATGTGTCCAAGAGCAGCAGGTGAAGTTCATGCAACAGCAACTGGAGAGGGGCTTCGGATACTTCGAAGGGGAGGCAATGAAAGTCTTGTCCCTGCCTTACGCAGACCCACGCTTCTGCTTATATGTGTTTCTACCCAAAGACATTTCTCACTTTGAACAGCAGTTGCTGCAAAAGCCAGACGCTGCCGAGGAGCTCGTAAGGCAAGTGGACAACACTGTTTCCTCCGGATCGGTGTTGCACTTGTCCATACCTCTGATCAAGTTTGTGGCAGAAGAAAACCAAGTAGACCTTGCTGCGGTGTACAGACACCTAGGCGTGCGTCTCATGTTCGAGGCGGGCAAGGCAGACTTTTCAGGGATTGCCCGTGACAAAGACCTTTATGTTTCTTCCTTTCTCCACCAAGCAGATTTCACGTGGAATGAAGAAGGCACTGAGGCTGCTGCAGCCTCTGCTATGGTAATTGCTGAAGCTACTGCATTCATTCCGAAGCGGCAAATATCTTTGGAGGTCAACAGGCCTTTTCTCTTTCAAGTCCGAGTGAAAGACACTACAAGTGCACACTCGCTGGTG